GTGACAGGAGATGGAAGCAGAGAAATGAAAATTAAACAGTGGTTTAATTCTGGTTTGGAGTATTCGGGAGAAGTTCATTAGAGTATTATTTGACAAGAAGATTTCATTGAAACTGAAAGGAAGGATCTGTAAAACAGTTGTGTGACCAGCCTTGATATATCGTATAGAAAACAGAGCCACATCATGAAGAGAGGAACAGGGGCTGGATAATAACGAGGTGCAATACAGACATGGATGACTGCAATAACAAGACAAGACAAAGTCAGGAATTGGTTTCAATGGCTCAGTGAAGATTGGAGCTGGTAGACTGGGGACAAAAGTGTGACCTGACTGAGGACTCAACCAACAAATTACATCTTAATGTGGTGACAGAGGTTTGATGTCTGTTCCTGTGGAAACTCTAAATACAACACAATGCCTGCAAAGTGTTCTGTAAAAAATTCAAGACAGATTTCAGAGAAATGTGTTTGCCCAGAGAACAATGAGAATGTGGAACACACTCCCATACAGAGTGCCTGAGGTAAATAGTTTTGACCGATTTAACAAGAAGCTGGACAAAGACACTGGAGGAAAGGAACATGAAGATAGTCTGAAGAACATTTGTGAAAAATATAATGAACTAAAGAGAGTTCTAGATTGAACGGCCTGCTTCTCCCCTGTAAATACTGTGTGCATTTCCAACTAAAGCTCTACTCTGGAGCTGTCCCCTGACCAAGTGCTGAGGGTGGGGCATGTTTGCAGTGGGAGGGGGATCATTGAAAACCATTCGGATATCAGAATGTGTGGTCTGGAAACTGAAATCTTGTCACCTGTTTAAGATTCAACAGAGAATGAGAGTGAGCCTGATATAAAGGTATTTATCCCCATCGTACAACGACACGTCACAGTTTCAGATTTCAATATCATTAAAACAAAAGACACAGGTTTTAAACTATTCTGATATTGGAACACAGAGGCTCTCCTGGGATTGGGGAACTGAAATTCTCTTCTTTCTATTCCAGATTCTGCACAAAGAGCGAGTCACTCGGAGGCTCAAGGTATCGATGTTTCTGTGGTAATCTGTCCCTGTTTCTAACAATCATTGCTGAGTAATCTATTAACGATTGTACTATTGACTCTGGGAAGCTGTTTGGATCCATTGGCCTTGCATACAAAGCCAAACCTCACAGCCCAGAGTCAGTGCTCGGCTCATTGTTCCTGCATCTGAAGGGCCAGGAGGCCAGAGAGTGCAGTTTAGGGATAATCTCAGCCCTGGACAGGAAGTGAGACTCACACTCACCCTGGAGACTCTGGGATTCAACCTGCAGTTTCCTGGTGAAATGAGCTGACCCCATTCCAACCCTGAGCTGGCCCTTCGAGCGATGGGAATGCAGCTCATGGTGAGCTGAGCCATTCAGTGGTTGCTGCAATGTGTGAGTGTGAGCAAAAAGCAACGTGTGACAGGGACACACTTTTCAATTGTGAAGATTTCACACTCATTTTCCATTTGATCATCAAAAACCCATTTCCATTTCAGATTCCAAACAGAGCGGCAAAAGGAAAATCAAAGTGATCAGTTCAGGACGAGATGATGGTTTATAGATCTCTCTGTGTGGGGCATTACTGACTGCGTTAATATATGGGAAATGGGTCCATGAGGATTAACAAGATCTTTATTGAAATGATTGAAATACACACAGGGCAAGGGACAAAGAGCAGAACGGAGAGCAAGCTGCTTACAAAACAGCAAATACAGAGCAAGTTAAAGCGAGTTACTGGGGGGAATGTGGGAAGTGGTGTTCCTCAGGGATCGGTTTTGGTCACCATTTACAGAAACAACTTGGTCTTGGGAATTAGAAATAGAATTCCAAAACCTGTTAATGGCATCAAACTGAGGGTCTTAGTTAGTATTGATGAAACATTACTCGACATTCTGATTTGTTATCAGATTAAGTTTATATTCTTTCATGGGCTGTGGGTGACACACGCTGGGCCCAGCGTATATTGCCTGACCCTGCTGCCCTGTTAGGAGGTGGTGGTGAGCTGCCTTCTGGAACTGCAACTCTTGATGTCATTTGGGGTCACTCACTGTGCCGTTAGGGAGGGAGTTCCTGGATTCAGAGATTTCAGGGTCAAGAGGGTGAAGGGTTAGACTTTAGCTGGAGGAAAATGGATTACAAACATTCCTTTAAAAACCTGAGTGTAAACTCGGAGGAGGAACTCAGCGATCTGGGGTACTCGTCACACACTCCATTCAAAGCAGTGATACAGGTTAATAAAGTCATGAAGAGCAAATAATTTAATGCAATTGATGTTCATTTCGACAGAATTGAAAAGCTGAGCAGTTGTTTTAAAGGTGTCTGGAATCTTGGTCAGTTTGCACTGTATCAACCGCACTCGGTCCCCATTTCCATGGAGACCACACATTGTCCATTCCCCAGGATAATCCTGGAGCGGGGAGATTCGATCAATCAGCAGAGATTGAACAGGTTCCGGCTCATTTCACTGGACAACAGAAGATTGAGGATATAACCCTGATACAGGGCTTTACAATAAAAATTCATGTGTATTAGGATTCACAGAAAGAAACTCTTTCCCCTTCAGTGGGAGTCCAGATCTTAGGGCTATAACTGTTTGACAATTGCTGAAAAGTCGAACAGGGATTCGAGGGTGCTGACACTGATTGAAGGGAATGTGGAGAGTGCGAGATAAAGAGATGTGGGAGGATGCTCTTGTTGAGGATAAACACCAGCACAGAGGAGTTCATTGTTTCCATGTTGTCAATGCCTTGCCATTCTGCTTGAACTCATTGGGAGCTGTCCCCTGCCCAAGTGCTCTGTGTGAGGTTCTTACAGTGGGAGGGGGATCATTGAAAACCATTCGGACGTCGGAATGTGGGGTCTGGAAACTGAAATCCTGTTCCCTCTCAACTGAGAATAAGAGTGAGCCTGATGCTAAAGGTATTTATCCCCGTCTTTCAACAACACATCACAGTTACAGATTTAAATATCACTACAACAGGAGGAACAGGTTTAAAACTATTCTGATAACGGAACACAGAGGCTCTCTTGGAATCGGGGAACTGAAATTCTCTTCTTTCTATTCCAGATTCTGCAGAAAGAACAAGTCACTCGGAGGCTCAAGGTATCGATGTTTCTGTTGTAATCTGTCCCTGTTTTGAACAATCTTTGCTGAGTAATCTATCCACAGGTGTACTAATGACTTGGGGAAGTTGTTTGGATCCATTGGCCTTGGATAGAAAGCCAAAGCTCAGAGCCCTGTGTCAGTGCTCAGCTCATTGTTTCTGTACCTGGAGAGGCACGAGAGTGCGACTTGGGGACAATGTCAGGCCTGGGCAGTAACCTATCATCAGGCCCCCATGTGACATATTCTGATGTTAAAGATGATCCTCAGTCGCTGCCTGTGTTTACCATCTGTTGTGCCAATCCTGGTCTCGTAACCAGTTCTCACTTACATTGTTCTGTCATTTGGGGCTATGCCTTCAGCTGTGTTGAACCTGAAAGTCTGAAGCTCCCTGCCTTGACCATTTCGCCCGTTCTGCTACCCGTTTAATGTGGTTTTCGGTGCTGTCAGGCTGAGTACTCTCTCTTTAACACAGTGTTATTTCCTCATGATAATGGTGACTCAGATACTGCCATGTTAGTGGTTCACAGATTGTCACAATGCACTTAGTAGATTTCTTAATCCTGATCCACTCCTCTGGAAGGGCTGGATAGCTACACTGAGTCAAGTCTTGAGCCCTTGGCCTACCCCAGAGCTTAAAATGGGTCAGAGTGTAATGTCCTTGCCATGTTCATTTCAAAAAAATCTTCATTGACACCCACCCCTATGTCAGGTATTGATTCAGAATTGGAGGAAGTAGGAAATGGCTAAAGAAATAGCCACAAAGACACTGGGTGCTTTTATATTGTGCAGAATTCAGATGTTAATCTCCTCGTGATCATTGTGCCATCTGTTGAACTATCCCTAGTAACCCAATCTACATTCTGTCACCTTCCCTTCCCAATTCAACATTTCTCTCTTTCCCCGGATCGATTTGTCTGGGAACCAGTTCGGCAATTAACCATCCTAAAGTCAGACAGCTTCACCTGGATCCAGCTGCAAAGGTTTCGTGGACCTAAAGATCCCAGTGATCATGACTAGGTGATGGTGTCAGCTAAAGCTGAAAGCTAAAGACTAGGGATAAAGACTGGCTGAATTACTGCAGTAACTGAGACAGGATACTCACTCTGAACCTTCAGATGAAGGCTGAGAAGTGTCAACTCGCTCTTTATTTGCCAGTTTGACAGTTGAAACTTATTAAATGAGTTCTATTGAGTCCTGACTGAGGACTCCCAGAGTTTAATGGTTTCTAGTAGAGGAGCCAACAACTGGCTCCCAGCTGTTGCCAATACAATGGCCTTTGAAGATGTAAAACCACTGAAGGGAAGAAAGTCAACAAGGAGAGAGTTTTATTTCATGGCCAGGAAGGGAGGAATGATTTGTAGCCAGTAGTCTCCCAAATATTGGATACATTCATCCCTGAGACAGGCAGTCTTAGCTACTATTGAAAACAGTTTAACTCAGCACCAGGAAGCTTACAGACAAATTGAATGAATGGGGTCCTTTGCAAATCACAGATCCTGGTTCCATAGTTCCCTAACCCCCATCACACCCAGCAGACCCCATCTCTCCAATGCCCAGCTCCCTCTATGCACAGCAACCCATCGCCAACTTGTCCAGACTCCCACAACCCCATTTCAATTCCCACACCACCAACCTCAACTCACCCAGATGGCACCACAAATCCCACCTCCACCCGCCCCCACAGCCTACATGTTTCTGGTGACAATCCCTGCCCTCAGATTCAAATCTGTGCATCCACCAGCATCTGGTTTCTTGCAAAGCAAAATGAACTGACTTTTCTAGGTTCATATGAAGGGAATCGCAGTGACAGGAAAGGTTTGTCAACTTTACATACTTTAGAAATAAATAAAATCTGTCTTTTTAAAATTATAAATATTGTTAATCAATAACGTGAGGAATGGGTTGGAGGAGGAGGTGGGGTGCAGGGTTTGGCCTTGATAACATTCTGACTCTGGAGCCCTACATTTTCTCACATTGCTATCATTTCCACAACTTTTGTTCCAGATCCTTTCCTTGAAAAGCATAAAGCTGATTCTGTTGTGAAGAGGTCCAGGAGATCAATTCAGGAATACTATGAAAGGTATTTCAATTAGTTCTTACCTCAATGGGTTGCTTATGGTGAAGTACCTTCAGTGCTTGCTGCCCAGGACTCCACTGCACTCAATGCCAAATGTATGTCATTTTACCGCAACATCCATCAAACTATTTCACACCATGACCTTGGCAACAGAGACAAACTGAGATTAGGAGAGATGGGCCAAAGGTCTGGTGGGGTTAGAGGAGATTTAAGGAGAGAGGCTGAGGTAGAGGTGGATTTCAGGAAGCAACTCCAGGTTGCAAGAGGCTAAGGGATTGGGGTAGGACAATCAGTCATGATCATATTGAATGATGGAGCAGAATCACTGAATGGCCTTCCTATTTTCTATGTTTCTATGTAAAAGCCAGAAAACTGAAGGTCAATGCTGCCAGTGCTGGAGAGAATTAGGAGGGGTTGGTAAGTGGGTGGATTAGAGGGTGGGGAGGAGATTGTTATATTGAAAGTGAGAAAGAAAGAGGCCAGAGTTATTTAAAGTGGGAGATGAAGTTTTATGTTGTAAACTTTGGGAGACCGGGATTAGTCAGTGGTCAATGAATTAAATGGTGAAAATGTGGATATTTTGATGGGACAATGTAGACAATTAGAGGCAGGGAGCTCATGACAAAGACATAGAGATACAACCTGGGCATCTGCAGTAGAGGTGGGACTAATCATCAAACAGCAGGTACAAAGTTTTTTAAAAAACTGAGGCCGTTTAATTTAGTTTGAAATGAAGCAGCACTACCAATTACTGGTTTCTAAAATGTTAGACAGTGAGGGAGATGACCTGGGAGGATGGCAGCAGTGATATCAGACTCTCATTTCTCCGAATGCACTTATTCCAGGTGAATGCTGCTGGCCACTGGATATTGTTTGGGTGGACAGTGGGAAGGACACGCTCCAAGGCTGCTTCTTGGAAACTGGGATCTGCGTGGAACACTTGGCTTTGCCCCCGGAAACAGTGCCTTGCTCACTTCAAGAATGTCTCTAATCATTTCCCAAAAACGTGAAGCCCACATGTTGAGCAATGAAGTGGCTACAGTTTGTTTACTGGGCTGTGCCAGGTTCACTGTTGGCAATAGGCAAAGGCGAGTCAGTGAGTTCAGAATTATAAGGGTACTGCCATTTCAAACACAATACTTCACCTCTCTGCTTTCACTCAAGCTCCTGTTGCCAAGAGTCAACGTCCAAAGAACACACAGCCCATATTTACACCTCAGTGTCATGTCTGAGAGAGACTCTCACAAATACCTCTTTACAAACTGAAGAATTAATAGGGATGCATCTCGTCAGGTTAACGTTTTGGAGCTACTGTGGTTTAATAGTGACTACAGCTGAAAAAGAGAAGGGAAGGGTGCAGACTTTCACCTGCCTTACCTGCACTGAGGTCCCCCCCCCAGCATGCCCACTCCCCACACTTTCCCAGCTGTTGAACCCTGTGTCCTTAACCATCTGTAACACTAATTCTTTGGAAATCTCAGGAGAACTTTGGAAAACGCTCTGGAAATAGAGCGGGGGGATAACGTGGGCTTACACTACCAAGAGCTGGCATTGACTCAATGGCTGAATGGCCTCTCCCAAGCTATTATAACCTTAACAATCAGGCAAATACTGTGAGACTATGAATGGATTTCACAAACAAACCTATCCAATACATTATAAAATAAAAACCGAAAGAACTGCAGATGCTGTAAATCAGAAACAAAAACAGAAGTTGCTGGAAAAGCTCAGCAGGTCTGGCAGCATCGGTGAAGAAAAAGTCAGAGTTAACATTTTGGGTCCAGTGACCCTTCCTCAGAACTGATGGTAGCTGGAAAATGTTCATTGATTTCACATCCAATTTCCACCCTGCCCTCACTTCTACCTGGTCTATCACTGACTCCTCCCTTCCCTTCCTCAACATCTGTTTCCATTACACTGGCCACTAATAATCACTACAAACCCATCAACTCCCACAGCTAGCTGGACTATACATCCTCACACCCTGCTTCCTATAAAGACTCTATCCCATTCTCTCAGTTCCTCAGTTTCCATCGCATATGTTCTGATGAGGCCAACTTTGACAAGGGAGCCTCCAAAATGTCCACCTTCTTCCTCAACTGAGGATTCCCCAGCTCCGTTGTCGACAGGGCCCTCAACCAGGTCCGACCCATCTCCCGCACTTCCGCCCTCACCCCTTCTCTTCCCTCCCACAACAGCGATAGGGTTCCTCTTATCCTCACCTACCATCCCACCAGCATCCACATCCAGAAGATCAGGCACCATTTATACCACCTCCAGCGAGATGCTGCCACCAGACACATATTCCCCTCCCCTCCCTTGTCCACCTTCTGCAGGGACTGTTCCCTCCAGGACACCCTAGTCCACACTTCCTTCACCCCCAACAGCCCTATGGCACCTTCCCCTGCAACCGGCGAAGGTGCAACACCTGCCCATTTACCTCCTCCCTCCCCAGTATCCAAGGGCCCAAACATACCTTCCAGATGAAGCAACACTTCACCTGCACTTCCCAGAATCTAGTCTACGGCATTCGCTGCTCACAATGTGGTCTCCTCTACATTGGGGAAGCAAAGTGTAGACTGGGCGACCGCTTCTCAGAACATCTACATTCTGCTCACAAAAAAAGACCCTGAGCTTCCAGTTGCCTGCCACTTTAACACACCACCCTATTACTCGGTCAATATCTCTGTCTCAGGCTTGCTGCAGTGTCCAGCGAAGCTAACCGCAAGGTTGAAGAACAACACCTCATTTTCTGCGTGGGGACCCTACAGTCCTCCAGAATCAATATCGAGTTCAATAATTTTAGGGCTTAAACTCTCCCATGTCCCAGCCCCCTACCCCACACACCAGGCCTTGTTACCACATAGCCTGCCATTACACACCCCCTGTTGTTAGTCACTAACAGTCCCCATTAACAGCTATTCACCCTCCCAGCCAGACTGTTATCAACTCCTTTGTCTATCCAACTGCTCTTCTCTCTTCAGGCTCTATCCTTTATCCTGTCATTTGCTCCCTACCTCATCCCCCTCCCTATTTTCTGCATATAAACCAATTTTTTTCTAGCTACCATCAATTCTGAGGGAGGATCACCAGACCCAAAATGTTAACTCTGATTTTTTTCTTCACAGATGCTGCCAGACCTGCTGAGCTTTTCCAGCAATTTCTGTTTATGTTCCTATCCAATACATTTTGCGATTTTCTCTCAGCCTATCGAAAACAGATTCTTGTCATCTAAACATTAAACCTGTGGGCTCTGTATTATGTTAGTGTTGATGTTAATCTGTTTTAATTGCAGGCACCATGAATATTATTATAAGACACCATACGAGAAGCGCAGGGAGATATGTGAGTCCTACTATCCCTGCAACTACCTGGCCAACAGAATTGGATTTCAGAGCGCCTACATACAATATTTTGGATACTATTAATAATAACCCAGTAGGACAGAAAACATTATTAACGTCATAGTACTTTATACTGCACAAAATGTCAGACACAGTGGATCAAGCTGCATAATTTGCAACGTTGTTCAAGATCTTGGGAAGAGTTTCTGTAGTGTGTTTCAATCTAGTTCTGCTGGTCATAACTTAGCCCATTGGAATGTCGGTTCAAAAGGTCCTCAGGACACCTGAGAACAGAGACAAGAAGCTTCTCACCAGCTTAAAGATTAATCAAACCTTCTTGCCACACATCTCAATGAGATTCCCCTCCTCCAAACATATCTCCCTTTCAACTGTCTTTTCTTGCCAAAGTATTCCCCACTCACTTCCTCAGAATTCCTTTCTTCCCCAAACTTATTCATCATTAGCTCATGTTCCCTGGAATGTGCCATCCTGTTTCTGTGAATTATCTCCAGATCCTTGACATGGCTGATTTTGTTCCCCAAATACAGTTGCTCCTTTCCATCTTCATTTTTCCTTCAATGCTGCTAGTTTTACAAATAATTAAGGAGAACTGAAATATTAAATCCAAGGCTCTGAGTCTACCTCACTTCATTGTTTTTGCTCGCATTGTCTTAAGAAGAGGGGAATAAAAATCTCGAGAAAACCTTTTCTTCAACATTATGTTCTCTGTAGTGGATATTCAATAGGGTTTCACCCTATGGGGTCTGATTTCCAGTTTAACCTCGAGCTATAAATTGAAAGGGTTTGGGTTAGTCCCTATTTAGTTGCTAGCAGGAATAGCGTTCTAACACCATCCCTGTGTTGGCATTTCCTATCAAAGCAAATAGAGTAGTTTATATAATAAAAGAATGCTTTCTCTGTCAATGGGATTGACATTATTCACTAAGAATGAAAGTAGCGTTCATGACGTAGACTACCCGTGTTAGACCTGACCTGCTCATGTTTGATTTCAACATGAAATGGAAAGCTTTCTATACTCAGCTAAGATAACCTTCATATAAAAATTAATTACATTATTCCACTCCTTCCAGCAATCCTCCTCCCGCACCCTTAAATCAAATGGCCAACGAGGTTATATCCAACCCACCAACCAGTAACTCAGCAAGGTCTTAGTAAGGAGGAGACTGAGTGAGATATTGAGGGATCATTCTGTAACAATCAAATTTAATGGATAAAAACAAAAAGACTTAAAGTGAGAGAAGTTCTTTAAGGAGGAGTATGCTTGAGTCACTGTGAATATATTCTGTGTGGTGTAAAAGTACACATGCTGAACAGTGAGCTGTAATCCAGTGAATGCCTTCATCGAGAGAAGTGTGTTCTCCAATTGAGCAGGCACTCGACTATTGCATCAAACATTTATGTTTCTGTCAAATCCCTTTGGCTGCGCATTAAAGGAAATAAACAGATTAACCACTGTTAAATTTTCAGCCAAGAAGAGTTTCACATAAGCAATTACTTTGTGCAATAATATCTTACCAACGGTATTTGTGCAATAATGTTACGCAGGCTGATATCCAACTAGTCCTCACACCTGTGCATGCTTGATGATGTAGTCGACTGGGTTCCATCATACTGTCCCGCATGGCTCTCATAACTCAACACTAATGTTTACTTTTGTCTAAGGCACAATGTATTATAATTTAAACATCTAAAGACACTTAGCCCCTTCACTTCTCCAAACCGCAACATTGACTGTACAGTTGTATCATAGCTGATATTTAGGCTTTTTGTAAATTAATAGTTGGCTGTTGCTGCAAATTGTCTCCATGTTGTGGAATTGAACACTTACGTCGGACAAGAGGAGTCGGAACATTGTTTTGAAACATATCCTGCCACTGGCTTTGAATCACTTTCGTTCCAATTTAAAAGTTCTGCAGAAAAGAAATCAAATGAAGTTTTGAAACTTTTTTCTCTCGAAAGCTATGATCCAGGGCAGCAAAAGATGCTCATCTTCAATGTTCCACCTTCCAAAAAGAAACTAAACATATTCCAGTCAGGAGGGTTATTGTTATTGGTATCAATCCTGATTTCCATCACATGTTAAAACAGTCCAGAGGATAAAATGTTTGGGAAAAGGTTCACAAATTAAACTTCCTTCATTTTGAAAATGTTTCTACAATGTTTGGAGGAGTAAGACATTCTCAATTAAGTGATTAACTGTTTCGGAGCAGGGTTGGAGGTGGAGGAGTGGGTCGGACAAGGGTAGGCAAGTGTCTTTAGTTAAATTCATTTCACATGATGTTAAGATTCAATATCATTGCTTTGTTGCACCTGCTGAAGATACTGTGCTCAAATAATTACAATTTATTTTCTTATTTTGTTAAGCAAAAGGCTGTAGTTTCTGATGTCAGTATATGATAACGATTAAAAATAAACAAAAGTAATTCACTTTTTTCTGGATCACTTGTTCTATCAACAGAATGCATTTGACGTGGTCACAACAAGTCCCCATCACTTGTGCTCCTGACAGAGTCATGTTCACAGTTAATGTTCCTTTGTGTAACTCCCCATTCATCACCCAACTTACCATTCTAAAGACCCTACACCCATCAACTTGCATCCATCATACCTCTTCAGTACTATTACCCTCCAATCATTGATTTACCAGACGTGAGAGGTATAGCTTATCAGCAGAGAATGAACCAGCTGGGGCACCTTTCTCCAAAAGAGAAGGCAGGGGGCAACTGAATAGAGAGGTATTTCATTTTATAAAAGGGCAACATTGACGAACTGTTTCAGTTTGTGGCAGGGAATCCGAAACCGGGAGCCAGGAATAAGATGGTCACCACTAAATCCGTTAGGGAATTCCAGGAGAACCATCTTTACCCAGAGAACAGTAGGAAAATCGAACGTACTGCCAAAGGGAATGGTTGTGACAAATAGAATGGAGGCATTAAGGGTAAGTTGGATAAGGACTTAACGACAGGGCTGAGATGAAGATAGATGGGAAAAGGCATAAACATTGGCAGATCTTTCCAAAGAGCCTGTGCCTGTCAGTACATTACATTTAAGCCAGCGCAATGGTTGAATCACTGAACATTGGTCTCAGTTGTTCACCAAGTGTGGGCTGCTCGATGAGACAGAATTTCCCAAAACCTGGAGTCCAAAGCCACGTACACATTGGTTTCCTGCATCTGGGATGTTGGGACAGAATGGGGAAGGTCAGCAATTGGGCAAAGCGACCAAACTGCCTGCAACTAAACAAATACTCTTCCCGATTTGTGGCTCCATTGATGGGGGCAGCATTTCATGGCATCAATTACACCGACCAGGAAACGGAAATGCTCTAAGGCAAGCAACTCATACCTTCCACAGAATACAAGCCCAACTTTCCATCACAAAATAAACTTCATCCCAGAGACAATCTAGATTCACAGCAAAAGGGGGCTGAAAATCTAACCCATTTGGACAGATTCAGCTTCTAGTTCTTACAGTCAATCACCCCAATGTTAGCCTTGTGCCTATGGGCTGCAACTGTCTCCCTTGGAGCTCACCCACACATGTAACATTTCTTAAGCCTTGTTCATACGCCAATGCTTTTCACTAAGTGAATGCAGATGACACAGAAACAGTTGGGAAGACAAGTGGTGAGAATATGACACAGACAGATTAAGTAAATGGGAAAAAGTCTGGCAGATGGAATATAATTTGGGAAATGTGAGGTTATACACTTTGGCGGGAAGAATAGATCTGAATATTATTTAAATGGATAAAAGGCAGAAAAGTGGAGTTGACGATTATCAGATCAGTCATGATCCCACTGAATGATGGAACAGTCTCAATGAGCTAAATGGCCTATTTTCCGCTCCCAAGTCTTTTGTTTTAATAAGAACAATTGAGAGAATGGAGTAAAATGATCAAAGACTCCCTCAAGAAGAGAGATCAGAGTCAGGCAGGACCAGCACTTGGAGCTGGGGGAATCTGCAGAGATAGGGAGGTAAGCAGCCATAAAAGGGTCTGTAAACAAGAGAATCAGACTGCAGGATAACACCCAGACATGAGTTTTTATGTGTTATTTAATTTCACTGCTGGATAAATATTGTATCTGGCACCAAGACCACTGAAGCATTAGTGGCAACTAGATAGAATGTGCAGCATTTAAGAGAATGTTAAACCTTGTACAGTTTTGAACATATCTCAAATGACACTTTGCAGGTTGAGGATTTGTTTTAAATATTAACAGAATCTGCTGCAATTTACTGAAGGAAATGAAAATGGATAAAAAGAACATTGAGTTGCTGAATAAACAGGAGCACATCATCACAAAGGACACATCCTCATCAGTTTAGTCTGTCAGTTCTAGTCTTCAGAACAGATATCTAAACGAATGTATCAAACTGATAGAATTCAGCTATAGTCCAGTTAATAATATATAAATATCACATCCAATTTGAAAAGAATTTTAGCACATTGTTTGTGCTCTTTAACGGGGCCTTTTCCTTGCTTTGCCTCCTGGTACTTTCTGCCTGATACCCAAAGATTCTTCTGTGTCATCATCGGCATGTTCAGGTAAACGTTTCCTCTTGTCTCCCTGCTCTCGCAGTTCCTGTTGAAAGTATACACATTCAGGGTTACGGTAGTCACCTTGATCCCCAAGAATCACATCTGCGATATACTCTAATGCACCCACTGATTCCAGTATGAAACAGTTTCAGGCAAATGGCCACTCATTTCAGCCACGCTGCCCGCGAGCAGAGAGTAAACACCCGATAAATGTGGCATCATAAACAGAAGTTTCTGGAAAAGCTCAGCAAGTCTGGCAGCATCTGTGATGAGAAATCACAGTTAACGTTTCGGGTCTGGTGACCCTTCCTCAGAACTGAGGAAGCTCTGATCTCTGGATTGGTTAACTAACAGGAAGAAAAGAGTGGGATAAATGAGTGTTTTTCTGGTTGGTGGTCAGTGGCTAGTGGTGTGCCTCAGGGATCAGTGTTGGGACTGCAATGGTGTACAATTTATAGAGATGATTTGGAGTTGGGGACCATGTGTAGTATGTTAAAGTTTACAGGTGACACTAAGATAAGTGGTAGAGTAAAGTGTGCAGAGGACTCAAAGTTTGCAGAGGGATATAGATAGTTTAAGTGAGTGGGCAAAGGTCTGGCAGATGGAGTACAAGGTTGATAAATGTGATGTCATCCATTTTGGTCGGAATAACAGTAAAAAGGGACTATTATTTTAACAGTAAAAAATTACAGCATGCTGCTGTGCAGAGGGATCTGGGTGTCCTTGGGAATGAACCACAGAAGGTTGGTTTGCAGGTGCAGCAGGTAATTAAGAAGGCAAATGGAATTTTGTCTTTTATTGCTCAAGGAATTGAGTTTAAAAACAGGGAGGTTATGTTGCAGCTGTGTAGGGTGCTGGTGAGGCCACACCTGGTGTACTGCATACAGGTTTGGCCTCCTTGCTTGAGAAAGGATGTACGGGCACTGGAGGGAGAGCAGAGGAGGTTCACAGGTTGATTCCAGAGATGAGAGGGTTGGCTTATGAGGACAGACTGAGTAGACTGGGATTATATTCATTGGAATTTAGAACAATGAGGGGGGATCTTAGAGAAACATATGATATTATGAAGCGAACAGATAAGATAGAAGCAGGGAGGATGTGTCCGCTAGCAGGTGAAACTAGAACAAGAGGGCACAGCCTCAAATAAGGGGGAGCAGATTTAGGGCTGAGCTGAGGAGGAACTTCTTCACCCAAAAGGTTGTGAATCTGTGGAATTCCCTGCCCAGCGAAGGGGTTGAGGCTTCCTCATTGTATGTTTTTAAAGCTAAGATAGATAATTTTTTGAATAGTAAAGGAATTAAGGGTTATGGTGAGAGGGTGAGAAAGTGGACCTGAGACCATGAAAAGATCAGCCATGGTCTTATTGAATGGCGGAGCAGGCTCGAGGGGCCGGATGGTCTACATTTGCTCCTATTTGTTATGTTCTTATGTTCCTATTAACATCAACGAATGGCAGCCTCCCAATGATGTCACAAAGCATAATCACATTTTGCTGGCTCCCAAAAGCTTGTTTATACTGTGGAGAAGGAGGGGTAGGCTCTGTAAGATTTGTCAAAATCAAAAATAACATCTCGCTCCCACTGATAATCACAAACATTCCTACGCTTGCAATAACCACTGGGCCATTGTTGCCCCCTCCATCAGGCTATGTATTTTGTGGGGTAAAACACTACATACCAGGTACACACACACACACACACACACACACACACAGAGTACACTTAGCTCACATGCTCAAACACTCTTCATAATATCAAATCAGATTAGCAGTTTACATAATAATCAAAACAAGTGGTTTTAGTTACTTGGCCATTCTAAACCATTGAAGAAATTACGCAAAATTCCTGATTTGGCAAAACAGCATGATTCTTAACATGCTAAAGTCTCATTGAGCATGAATTCACCAGCAGGGGTCCTGACCAGAGTGCCAATAAGGCTTCTGGCAGATCCAGATTACATAATGGACACAGTATGTGAACCATGTCCCAGAATGACCTTTCCCAGCACGTGGAAAACCAAGTGGGAAAGACAGTGGAAGCCACAGCAACTGAGGTGGAGTTATGATCATCCAGGACAGAGTACAGCTGCCTCTAGATATGACTGCAGATGATGTCGCTCGTTAGGTTAAATCAAATCCAGACGAGTCTGCAGCCCAGCATAAGTTATGTAAACTGGCAAGTGCTAGGCATTTCTGTCTTGGGACTAGAGCTGAATACCAAGGCTGCTGTTAGAGGGAAAAAAACAATGATTTCACAAATTATCGAGCTCACTGGAGATTTTCTGCAAGTGTCTGGACAAGTTTCGATTGTCTGCCAGTGCTTGATGTTGCTGCAGAGAAACAGAGTCTATTCTCTCCCTCTGTGAGTCAGTTCCATGAGCACCAACCTCAGACACCTTTCATTTGTGATCATTCACACATGGAATTTTGATGTATGCTCACAGGTATCAACCATCAAGACAGTGATCAGGGTAAGAACACTTGACTGATTTCTTGCCTCTTCAATCCATCTAAGACAGGCCCATTGCAGAGCCCCAGGAAGCATTTAAACTAACTGAGCACGTTCCACAGCATTAAGCCTCTCCTGTGCTCAGTACCACAAGGGGTGGGGTGGGGTGGGGTGGGGGAGGGGGATGTTGGTGGAGAATGAGTAAGATTTTCCATTGTTTTGTGAACATTAATTGGAGCTGCTCCAAACTAATCTCATGTTATAGTGATTCATCTGGAATGGTTAATTCTGTAAATTTATAGTTCAGCGCAGGACTCAAATACAACAATGATTCAAGATAGAATTCATAAACAGCAGATAAATTACACAATGGAAACTTCCATTCAGCCAAACCACTTCCACTAAACAAGTTTTGGTGGGATTACAACCACTTCCTACTCATCATAAGCAATGCAGGCTCCAACACAAATTTTTTACAAAACAGTTACAAAGTTGGGCTAACAGCAGCTTTGACATTTGGCTTATTTAGGATAACCACGCTTTGGCAAAACTGTGCTGCTGAAGATATATTTTTACAAGTTAACATTCTTCAAGGGCAGACAGATTAAATTCAACACAGAACAATGTGAATCGGTGCAGTTAGAACAGGATAATGAAATTTCACTTAATTATCAAGACTTTACATGGAAGAGAGGTGTGATATCTTCCTCTGCAGACACAAGGATCAATTAAGCTGCTGATATTAAAATAAAGCCATAGAAAGCATGTAATAGGTCTTTGGTTTTGTGTCTTCAATAGAATGTTGGTCTTACACAAGGACTTTAGGCCAAAGTGCAGCATACTGAGTTTGGTATCAACTGTAGGCAGAATAAAAATAGCCACAAGAAAGCAGGAATACAGACGTAGGGATGTTACCAGGGCTTGGAGTTACACTGGGAAGAGAGATCCAAGAGGTCTGGGCTGAAGATGATTAAGGGGACACAGACTGAGAAATGATAATTGATAGAACAGACCCCCCCTCTCTTCTGCATACACTGGAATCCTCAAGCAGACACTACACAGGATTGAAATGAGAAGTTTGCATACCATTCGAGCGAATCGCTGCGCTTCAGTAACCCGCTCCACCAGCAGCATTACTTCTTCCTCTTGCGTGGGGAAGGCTGGGAGTTTCTTCCCGATCAGGTGCTCAATCCTCTGGAACAGTTCCACGTCATACCTGACAACAACATCAGCACATCAATAACTGAAGGTGCAGCTCAGAAGCACAGGGCATAACATCAACAACTAACTGCCAACATTAGAGACAGACAGGAATTATCTTTATCATCTGATATGGTCTGAAGGAACACCCGAGATCTAATGGAATGAGGGATCAGATGATTGATTGATTGATTAATTGGGTGAGAATCCATTGTAAAAATACTAGGAGCTAGTAATCAGTAGGGGAGAGTTTTATGGAAACTGAAAGAACTGTGGATGCTGCAAACAAAAACAAAAACAAAAACAGAAGTTGCTGGAAAAGCTCAGCAGGTCTGGCAGCATCTGTGAAGAGAAATCAGAGTTAACGTGTCAGTTCTGAGGAAGGGTCACTCGCTCTGAAATATTAACTCTGATTTCTCTCCACAGATGCTGCCAGACCTGTTCAGAGTTTTATGGAGACTGGCTAACTTAAAAAAAGGTTCTCACTAGAAGTGTTGACTTGAATTCTGCTCAAACAACAACTGTTTTGCCCTTTCAGTCTGCTCTGCAAATCAGTGAGATGATGCTGATGTCCTCACTTCCTGCACCATCCCATTCCCTTTGTACCCAAACACCTTTCAGCCCCTACTTTGAACATACTTTAATGACTGAGCTTTGCCATCTCTGTCAAGCAGAAGATTCAAAAGATTCACAAGTCTCTGAATGGAGACATTTCCAATCTCAGATCTAAACGAGCCAACCCCTTATTCTGAGAATGTGACATTGTGTTCTATATTCCCCAGCTGGCTGGGGGGGGGGTTTGCTAAATCACACCCTCCAAACCCATTAAAACCTTTACACATTTCAACAAGATCGATGCAATATCAGTTCTCACCTTCATTCTATACATCAGTCCAATGAACCTTCATTTCCCTCCCTCAGAGACAAGGTTATGTTACTTCATCCTTTGTTGCTCTGGAATGCCCTCCTTGCACATCCCCTACCTCGCTCTCCTCCTTTTGGATATTCCTTGAAAGCTGCTTCTTTAACTGAGCATTTGGTCACTTTTCCCACTATTGCCTCCCATGGTTCAGGGTCAAATTCTGTTTGACATTCGCTAGTGTGAAGTGTCTAGGTAGTATCACTATGGTAAAGGTGCTTTATTGATACAAGTTGTTGTTGTCCTTCATCTCCTGGAGACCCACCCACTGAGTTGTATGAATAAGTTCCACGAATGGCAACAGTATTCAGGCATCAAGTGAGAGCTGGTACCTCCCATTCACAACCACTCCATCCCATCACCAACTGGACGGCCCCTAGCAGCTGGTCTCACTGCGGAACACCTGTAACTGGAAGCTCTGCAGCACTTAAGTTAATTGTCTGAGGCCAGAAGAGATGAGGCATGGAAAAGGCAGCTACAATTACGTTTGAAACAAGTTGTCTTGACAACAGTTTGAGCACGGGTGTAAATTCAGCTCTGAATCAAACAGGATACTGCACAAACTTCAGCTTCTTGCATTCAAGCTCCACGGTATTCCAGCTCAGAGATAAAACCCAACTCATTTCCAGACATGACCTATCAAATATCTAAAAGGCCTGAACCATGAGCGACCTGGTGTCAGGAGAAAGACGAACTCTGTTTCTGCTCTGGCTCCTTTATCATTCAGAGTCACAGCTGCACTGAACGAAAAGGCTCCATGTAAAATGACCTCATTAGAAACTCTTGTGACATAGTGGTGGTAGTGTCCCTAACCCTGAACCAGGAGACCCACCTGCTCCACAGGTGTGTAATAACATTTCTGAACAGGTTGATTAGAAAAATTAAGGGGGGCCTCCTGTGGTGCAGTGGTAGCAACCCTAACCCTAACCCTAGACCGGGAGGCCGAGGTTCAAGTTCTGCCTGCTCCAGAGATGTGTAACAACATCTCTGAACAGGGTGAACGGAAAAAATAGGTTAAAATGTTAAAAAAGTAAAATGACCTCATTGTGGGGATTATTGGTTTTAAAAAAAAGCAAAAAGTCACAGTAATTTTGTTGGTTGGAAGGTCGCACAGTTGTGTGTGATAACATTTCTGAATACAGGGGAAAAAATAAAATGACCTCATTCAGCAAGCAGCCATCTGGTATCTAAAGTTAACAAGGCCCAGCCACCAGGTAAAATCCAAGGACTTCAGAGAGTGTGGGACTGCTTGGCGATTTTCCTTGTTAATAAATAGAAGTTTCCATTGTAAAACAAGCTGTTTTTCTGTTTACTTCAGTCCTCAGTCCACACCCAGTGACACAGTACGGTTTGTAGCCAGGAGAGGGGCTGGACCTACAGCTGGCACAGCTGAGGTGAGATAACTGACTGCACTAAATTACAAACAGACTTTGTTCAATCACCTAGTTTGTTTTCTATTTCATCGACACTTTGTTCTGTCAGGAGCCTGGGCAAAGTCACGACCTGCCCTCAGTCAGTTGGTCAAAAAGGAACCTGGGCTAGAACAGCAGTGCTGAATTTGCTGTTATCAATGTGTCCCCCTATTCTACAAGCCCTGGAAACACTGCAGCCAGAGCAGCAAACATCCAGAATACACTCCATGCTGTGGGCTAGCTTTCCCCCTCACAGGGTCAGAACACTGCTAGGATCAAGCAAAGGTACAAACGTCTCGCAAGTCCTAGCCCATATAGATCCCTGAGCCCAGATGCGATACTGAGGGAGCGCTGCACTCTCTGAGGGTCAGTGCTGAGGGAGCGCTGCACTGTCGGAGGTGCTGTCTTTCAGATGAAACATTAACCAAAGCTCTGGCTGCCATCTGCTGCAGACCTCACACGGCAGTTCAGTCCTTTAGGACCTGACCAGCTCAGTCATTCGTGCTGCTGTGCCACTCCTGGTAATAGTCAGGGAAGGCCCACACTGAGCGCACATTCTATACCCCCAGGGCTTTCTCCAAGTGATGTTCAACATGGAGTAGTATTGAGGTTGGTTTCCCTGCCCATGTTTGAGCTGATGCTTTCAGACCTCATGGTGCTTGTTGTCGATGTTGAGGACTCCCAGAGTAACTCCCTCCCAACTGTATATCACTGTGTTACCACCTCTGCCAATAGGACAGGACATATCCAGGGACGGTGATGGTGGTGTTTGGGATATTCTGTGTAAGGTATGAGTCCATGAGTATGCCTGTATAAGGCTGCTGTTTAACTGGTCTGCAGGCTCTCCCATTATTGGCACTAGTCCCCAGATGTTAGTGAGGAGATATTTGCAGGGTTGAATAGGCCGAGGGTGCAATTGTTGTTTCAATGCCTAGGTTAGTGCCAACTCGTCCATTATTTTGATGCTTTGAAGCAGCTTGATACAACTAAGTGGCTTGGTGGGCAATTTTAGAGTCAACCACATTGCTGTGGATCAGGAGTCACATATAGGTCAGACCAGGTAAGGATAGCAGTTTCCTTCCCTATGGAATGCTTTTGTACAACAAGGTTTCATGGTCATCATTAGACTTTTAATTCCAGATTATTTTTGAATTCAAATTCTCAGGGCATTACCTCTAGACCAGCAACAATGCCACTATACTATCGCCTCCCCTTGTGTGTGTAGAAGGCTGTAATAAGGTCAGGTGCGAGGTCCCTTGGTGGATTCCAAATTGAGCTTCAACGAGCAGGTTATTGCTGAGCAAGTTATGGGTGATAGAACTGTCAACAACACTTTCCATTCACTGATGAGGCAATAATATCTGCTTGAATTCACCCTGCTTTTTGTGCAGAGGACATACCTGGGCAATCTTCCACATTGTCAGCTAGATGCCAATGTTGTAGCTACACAAGGGCAGTTTGGCAGGTGGAACGGCCAGTTCTGGAGCATTAATCTTTGGCACCATTGCCAGAATGTCTTCAGGGTCCATTGCCTTTGCATTATCCAGTGCTTTCAGCTGTTTCTTGGCATCATGAAAAGTGAGCAGAATTGGCTGGAGATTGGTATCCGAGATGCTGGGAACCTCAGCAGGCCGCAGAGGTGGATTATCCACTCGGCACCTCTGGCCGAAGATGGATGCAAATATCACAGTCTTGTCTTTTACACCAATGCGCTGGTCTCCTCCACCGTTAAGGATGGGGCTATTTGTGAAGCCCCCAAATCCTGTTAGTTGTTTTACAGTCCACAACTATTCAAGACTGGATGTACCAGGACTGTAGAGCTTAAATCGGAGCCACTGGTTGCAGGATTGCTTAGCCCTATCTACCTCATGCTGCTTCATCTGTTTGGGCACACCAGTCATCCTGCTGTGTGGCTTTACTAGGTTAACACCTCAATGTTAGGAAAAACCCTCCAGCACTCTGTGAGAATTACCTAGCTGTATCCTACAGTGCAGTACCGACTACAGTTTAAGAGCTCAATACGCAGTGCTCAATGCTTTGGGACATCCCGAGGTCAATTAGGACACTATATAAATACAGGTCTTCCTGATAGAGAGCGACAGAAATTGCAAGACTTTACAAATAAACTGGTCCTGTGGTGGGAAAGTGGTCTCTAGCTGCAGACTGGCTGTACCACACAGTCAGTACAATCCCCTCCTCAGCCTTTCTCCAACCACTCACCCAGAGCTACTGAAGTCCCTCACAACACTCCCAAGCAACCTCGGCTCCCCATAGCAATAGATTGCAGGGAAGGGAAAATAAACTGCAGAAACTGGAATCAGAACTGATTCAGTGAGGTGTTGCACTGTCCATTCTGAGTTAGAGGCGTTGAAACCACACAGCACCAGCACAAGAGACAGAAAAACTGAATAAAATCACACCCAAATTACCAGGAGTCAAATCCCCGACAGGACAATATGGGACAGAGTGGGGCTCAGCTCCTCAGTGACTGGAAGCAGTGGGTGTGTTTTGGTCAACTCAACAACTTCTGAAAAGAAAGGTTTTCAATGTTTAACTTCAGCAATGAGTAGAATCACAAGAGCTGACAGGCAGCCTTTCCTATGACGGATTGAGTGAATCCAGGAACAGAGAGCAGAAAGAGTTGAGCTGGGTTTGGTGATTAAGAGACACAGTCCAGGCACCATCAGTCCATCTGTATTAAAGAGCAGGAAACTGTGAGGGTTTGTGATCCTGATCACTGTGCACTGAGTTTGGTCTATGGAGCGGAAGGGTAACGGACTGAACGCAACTGCGCTGCTCATGTGGTCATATGGCCAGTAACCCTCTGTCCAAACTCACAAGAGCTTAATTCGGGAATGGGGGAACCAGCTTTAGCTGAGAAAGTCGGCAGGGTTTAGGAGACCATCCCACAACGAGAATTTAAAATTCACTCCTGCTCAGATGATGCATTTTCAGCTCTGCTCCAAGCCACTATCCATCACAACTGCCTCAACAAATTGAAAATAATCCTGTGCCCAGACAAAATATACCTTGAGTCTCAAAAATAGATTGGTTCCCAAGATAGACTGCCAACTGATGATTGCACAACATTCCTCAAGAAACTTCTAACACTCCTACTAAGTTGATTTGAGATTTAATAAGTACAAGTGAAATTTGGAGCCTGGACTAAAGTTGCAGTTGCCAGGAGTACAGCAACAATTTGAGTGCAGGTTGTTTATTCACTGATAGGTTACTGCGTGGGAGATTGTCTCCTGTATGCTTCAAAAATCTCACTTCCTTTAGGCAACACCTGACCTGCAGCAATGGGGGTGAGTGACACTGAGACAAACTAAACAGGATGCATTCACTACGCGCCCCCCAAAACACATCCACAAACCCGTTCAGTCTGGCACACTGTACCAGAGGCAGGAGGGTGTGAATATGGAGGCTCGACAATGAAAGTGGAACTCACTGGGTGACAAAGGTGATGGCCTTGCCTGCCCGTCCTGCTCTGGCCGTCCGCCCCACACGATGAATGTAATCCTGAAAGAGAAACAAGAGCCAGCTAAACCCAGCGTCATTTGGAGAAGGAGCAGCTGCCCACCCCCAAAACCCAGCACACAAGCACTAAGACAAAGCAACTGAGTTTAGTACATGACAGTGTGGGGGAAGGGGGGGATATGTCTAGGGTGGGGAGAGGATGCAGGGGAAGGAGGGGCTGGGGCAAGGCAAGGGGAATGCAAGGTGGTGGCAGGGAAAGGTGTGTGTGGGGGGGGAGCCTGGTCAGGGATGATGGGGTGGAAGGCTCTGTGGGGAGAGTGGGGAAATGCCCAGGGTAGAGTCAGTGAAGCCATACCCTGTTACAGAGCTGCAGCCGCCTGCTGTAACCCCTCTGTTTCCCCTCTTCACCGGAAAACTGCAGTGCCAAGTCTCAGAAGACTGAACATGGCAGCAGGTACTATCCCAACCTTGCATGAGGGCCTGAGAACAACATGGCAGTAGCCTAACCTCTGGCTGGTATTTCTCTGCACTCTCAGGTACAGTGCACAGGTTGACATCAGTTTATTCAACATAGTGACCAATGGACACCACTCGTGGAAATCTTCCAGTACAACGAAATGCAGACAGTCCACAGCTACTCAACAGATGAGGTGCTGTTAGCTCCATTTGTTTCCACATTACAATTCTGGAAATTTTACCTTTGAATGGGTAGGAATATCGAAGTTGATGACCACATCCACGTGTGGAATATCAAGGCCACGACTTGCTACATCCGTGGCCAGCAAGATCGACCGAGACTTAGCCTTGAATTTATTCAAAGCTCCCAATCGTTTGTTCTGTAATTGGTAAAGAAAGTAAGTGAATAGTTTTAACCACAGGACAACAGTGACAGGGTATGAAGAAAAGCAGCCCACCTGATTCATTTGGCCATGTAAGGGAATGGCGGTAAAGCCAAGGTTGCGTAGGAGCAGTGCTGTGCGCTGTGTGTTGTTACATGTGCTGCAGAAGATGATGAAGGAATTTCCAGCCAGCTCATTGAGAATGGAAACCAAGTAACAATCCTATAGAGAGAAACAGCAAACTTTGAAACAACCCAGAACTTAGCAACTTATCACATGCACATTATAAAATTCTCCATCTTCTTTAAGTAGGGAACTCACCTCTGCCCACAAAACTACATGCTTTTGTCATGACATTTGTGGCCACTGTAAGTTGCTATGTGATCATTTCCAATGTAATGTTGCTGTGTGAACTGTCACAGTATAATTACAGCACTGGCCACAAGGTGCCACTGTGAAGAAAGTTCTGCAATTTCTCTCAACTCTATCTTGTATAAAACATGATTTACATTTACTAAGGCCAAGACTGAGAAATAAACAGAGAATCTTTAAAAATAGGCACAGATATAATTTTTAAAATGTGCACTCATATCATTTAGGGAAAAGTGATTCAAACTAAAATAAAATCTTTTATATTATACAAGCGGAAAAAGACTGCAGAAAGCCGCAACACAGAGATATGGGAGTGCACCTTGCATGGAATGCTGGCCTTCATTCCAAAGGGAATGAACAGTAAATATAGGAATGCCTTGCAAAAACGATACAAGACACTAGTCTGATCACATCGAGACTACTTTCAACAGTTTTTGTCCCCTTATCTAAGGAAAATATACTGGCACTGGAGGCAGTCCTTATGGTTTTACGGTAACCTCAGGAGGCCCACATGACAGGGTAAAGATTGATTTAGTGTCCACAAAACGTGGGAGCAAATGTAGGCCATTCAGCCCATCCAGTCTGCTCCACCATTCAATGAGATCATGGCTGATCTGATAATCCTCAAATCCACTTCTCTGCCTAAAGAATTCCAAATCTTCACTGCTCTTGGGGAGAAGAAATTCCTCATTTCTGTCTTAAAAGGGCAAACTCTTATTCGGAGCTAATTCCTTCTGGTCCACTTTCCCCATAACCCTTGATTCTCTTTCAGATTAAAATTTGGAGAGTGATCTCTTATTCCAAGAGTAGGCCCTCTGGTCCCAGAGTCTCCCTCAATAGGAAACAATCTCTCAGGCATCTTGACACAGTAGATGCAAAGAATGTTCTATGTTTCAATCAGCTCACCTCTCACTCTTCCAATTTCCAGCGAGTGCAGGTTAAATTGACCACACTACGCCTCATAAGTCCCTCCTTCATACACGGGATTATCCAAGTGAATTTTCTCTTGCCTCCAATGGTAATCACTAGTCAGATCTTTATTTCAGTTACCATTCACCATAAAAACCCACTCCCCACTGAATACTAGCTCCCCATCATTATCTAACCAATTCACACCCAATTAACCCTTAACTAACATATTCACCATATTCCATTTGGTCTCAGACATTCCTTCAGACCATATCAGATGATAACATCCATATGGAATCGACATCTTCTCATACAAGATCATTCCTGCAGTTATACTTATTCTGTCCTGTGCTAACACAGCTGCCCCAACACCCCAAAAATCACATACCCCAATCTCACCGGAAAGGTGGTACTGGAGTGTGAAAGGAATCTGGTGAAGAGCTAATTTAAAGAAAGTAACTGTGATAATTAGTTAGATTTATCCGATAATGATTGGTATCTAAACAGCAACAGTATTCCATGGCTCCAACGACAGTCATTACCTTGAACTTCGAGGGAATAAACACATAATACTGCTGCAGTTTCTCCACAGTCTGGTACTTGGTTGAAACAGCACACTTCACAGGATCTTTCAATGCTGCTCGCTGGAGTTTTTGTACCTGGTGGAGAGCAAGGAAATTTCAGCCAGAAATAGCGAAGCAGCTTTTAAATGCACAACATATCTCTCCAAACTGCGAAGGGCTTTCCCCAAGGGTAGTGGAGAGCACTGTTTAAAGTGAGAGGGGAAAGATTTAAAAGAGTGCTGAGGGGCAACTTTTTCACGCAGAGGATGGTACGTGTATGGAACGAGCTGCCAGAGGAAGCGGTGGAGGCAACATTTAAAAGGCATCTGGACATGTGCATGGATCGGAAAGGTTTAGAGGGATTTGGGCCAAACACAGGCAAATGGAGCTAACTCAGTTTAGGAAACCTGTTCGGCATGGACGAGTTGGCCAAAGGACCTGTTTCTGTTCTGTATGACTCCATGACTTTGACTCAGAATGGGTTTGTTAACGTGACAAAGCTGGAGATGTGTTGAGACCAAAGCTGCAGCCGACTGAACTCCCTTCTATTTCTGTATTTGCTGTGTTACTGGGATACCTGTGAGCATCTCACTCAGCACAGGTCAGAGACTGAACCTGGGATCTTGCTGCTCACGACAGCAACTCCCTCCACCCCACCATCACCCAATAGGCTCCACACTAACCCCCACGCTCAGAGATATATTAAAAGTTCCACAGTAAACCTTCTTGGTCATCGTTGCAGAGAACAGGTAGGTCTTCCGATCCCTTGGAATCACTTTGAGAATTTTGTCGACCTGCAAAAACAAGGAGTAGGCTGGTGTGAACAAGGAATCACAGGACAAAAAACTACTCCAGAATATCACAATTAACAGGCAAGTGGTTTTGAGCACTAGAACATGTACTGTTTTAAATCTCCCATTAAACATATATTTGCTCATCTCACACTGAAACTGAAAGAGGTTGGAAGTAAAGGATTCTGATACACAGAACAATCTGAGAGTATTGTTGCTGGTCATTAGGCAATGGCTCCATCTGCTGGCTCCTGTACCGATGACAGGTTAAATCCCCCTGCCTCCCATAGCTCAGCAATGCATATTGAGACAGCAGGATTTGTACTTCCCCTCCAAACACTCTCAGAGAAGGTGAACTGGTATTTATATTCAACATCCTTCTTGACCTTGAGACACCCCAAAATGCATCACAACTAATGACATATTTCTGAAGTAATGAGGGAGACAAGGCAGCCAACATGCACAGCAAGGTCCCACAATCAACTGCACAACAGCCAGATAATGTTTTAGCAACGTTGGTCAAGAAATATATATTATCCTAGGACACACCTTGTACTGGTGATGTGAGTGGGTTTGACGATGAGGCAGGGAGATTCCAGAGCACACAAGCATTTCCAGAGAATCTTTGGGAGTTTATTTTACACGAGTGAGTGAGTGCGTGAGCGAGTGCGCGCGTGAGCGAGCGACAATATCTGCTCCACCACCTTCCATGATACAGCACGTTTGCTGTGTCCACGAGGACATCTTACTCAGCTCAGCAAATAATAAAACAAATCCAAGAAAATCTGAACACTACAGTTCGCACACCTCAGTTTCAAAATCCATGTTGAGAATCCTATCTGCTTCGTCCATCACCAGGTATTTCAGTGCTCGCAGATTAAATCCCTTGGTGTTCTGAAGGTGATCGATCAGGCGGCCTGGGGTTGCTGGCACAGAGACAACAAATAGTTAACACCAGTCAGCGTCCTCCCTGATAACCAGGGTAAACGCCCAGATAACCAGGGTAACCGCCCTCCACCCTCCCAGATAACCAGGG